AGGAGTACTCTAATCTACACTAATAAAAGAGAAAAATGGTAATTGGCGTACGGCGCTACCCTTTTCATTGGCTAATCAGGGCTATATGCAAATTAACTGCCAACAAGATGGTGGTTAATTTGCATATGTAGGCACAATGCAGGGAGGCGAAAGGGAAAGCAGGAAGAAGCCCCCTGCCACTGACAGTGATCGGAAACCCAGAGGGGAGCTAAGAGCTGGGGGGGCAGGGCAAAGGCGGCCCTGGGGCCGCCTTTGCCCTGCCCCCCAGCCATGATCGGAGAATCAGGTGCCTTTTCCGCCCTGGCCAGTGATAGCAGGAAGTAGGGGTGGAGCCAGGGATGGGAGCTGGGCACGGTGGAAGCTGGCAGTCCCAGGAGCTAGGGGTCCCTTGCCTGGGCCTAAAGCGAAGCCCATGATCGCGGGGCCACTGCAGCTGCGGGTCCCCGCTGCCCGGGCCGGACCCCTAGGCCAGAGGCGTTAGGCCTGGGCAAGGGTGGAGCCTGCAACCGCGGGGAGCTGGGGGTCCCCTGCCCAGGCCTGACACCTCTGCCGGAGGCCTCAGGCCTGGTCAAGGGGCCGATCCAGTGATTGGTGATCGGAGGGTGATGAGGGTCAACTCCTCTGGCCGAGGCATCAGGCCTGGGTGGGGGGCGGAGCCGGGGATTGGGGGGATATAATGGTCCCCTTGCCCAGGCCTGAAGCCTGGGTCAGAGGCGTCAGGCTTGGGCGGGGGGTGGAGTAAGCGATCAGAGGGAGATGGGGGTCCCCTGCCCAGGCATGATTCCTGGGCCAGAGGCCTCAGGCCTGGGCAGGGGTCAGAGCCAGTGATCGGGGGGAGATGGGGGTCCCCTGTCCAAGCCTGACACCTCTGGCAGAGGCGTCAGGCCTGGGCAAGGGGCCGATCAGGCGATCGGAGGGTGATGGGGGTCTACGCCTCTGGCCGAGGCATCAGGCCTGGGCAAGGGGCAGAGCCAGCAATCGGAGGGGTCTGGGGGTCTGGGGGCAGAACCAGTGATGGGGGGAAATGAGGGTCCCCTGCCCAGGCCTGATGCCTCTGTCAGAGGTGTCAGGCCTGGGCAAGGGGCCGATCCTGCGATTGGAGGGTGATGGAGGTCAACGCCTGAGGGCTCCCAGTATGTGAGAGGGGGCAGGCTGGGCTGAGGGACACCCCCCCCCCCCACACACACACACACCCAGTGCACGAATTTCGTGCACCGGGCCCCTAGTTAAGTTAATAACAATGTACCTACCTATATAGTTTAAGTTTAAAAAATTTGGCTCTCAAGAGAAATTTCAATCGTTGTACTGTTGATATTTGGCTCTGTTGACTAATGAGTTTGCCGACCACTGGTCTAAACTTTAGACGAACTGCATGGCAGTAGACGGTATTCTCCCTGTGTCTTCACACCTCTTCTCCACACATGACTCTGTCTGCATCTGAATTTCCCCTCTTTATAAGGACACTAGTCACATTGGATTAGGGCCCATCCTGATGACCTCATCTTAACTGGGTCCTCTACAAAGACCCTGTTGCCAAGTAATGTCAGATTCGTAGGTATTGGCAGTTAGATTTCAGTATTTTCTCAGGAGACATCATTCAAACCATAACAACTACCATTGCCTACTGCAGTGTCATCATCCAGCTACCCCATTAGCAGATTATTCACAGATCTCTTTCTCCAGCCCTAGTTCCTACACATCTGGAGGATGTTACTGTTGACATTTTGTTACAGAGGCCCCCCATTTTCCTCCCTTTGCCCCCCTCCGCCCAGACCCTGCCCTTCCTTCCCTCTGGCCCTCACCACATTGTCTGTGTCCATGGCTTAGGCATATATGCTCTTTGGCTCTTCACCTTTTTCCATCTGGCCCACCCCACCCACCTTCCCTCTGACACCTTTCAGTCTGTGCCACCTAGACATCCATTTTTTATGGCCCCTTGGAACCTCAGACCAAGGTGTCCTAAACCAAACTCATTATTTCAGCACCTCTCCCTCCAGTCCCTACCAGGCTCGCTCTCCAATTTACTTAATGGCATCAGCTTACAGTCAAGCTTAGAAGCTGGAAAGTCTACAACAGGGGTCCTCAAACTACGGCCCGCGGGCCACATGCAAATACAAATATTGTATTTGTTCCCGTTTTGTTTTTTTACTTCAAAATAATATATGTGCAGTGTGCATAGGAATTTGTTCATAGTTTTTTTTTTTAAACTGTAGTCCGGCCCTGCAACGGTCTGAGGGACAGTGAGCTGGCCCCCTGTTTAAAAAGTTTGAGGACCCCTGGTCTACAATGTAACAGAAGCCCACCGGACATGCCCTAGAACACTCTTCCCCTTTTAATGAATGTGTATGATTGGGTAGGTTTCTTAGTTGAGCCTCAGTTTCTTCATCTGCAAAATTACAATTAAAAAATTCAAAGGAAAGCTATAATTAGGATAATATGTATTTTATATCCATATTTAATATTGTTTTTGACTCTTGAGTCTTCCTTGCCCTTTACATCTGATCATTATTAAGTCCTGTGTTTTACGACTGCACCTTTCTCCTCTTTATTCTCCCTGGTTGCTACGCATTGGCCTTTGGCATCACTCCTACCTCATCTCTCTCGTTTCTTTTACACAATCACTCTAGCTAATAACAAAAAGGTACTCAGGAGCATAGCATGTCTTTTCAAAACCCCTCCTCCCTTCCTAGGATTTCTGTAAATTTCTAACTTGTTTTTTAAGGTTCTGCCATCTGGCCCTAAATAATCTCCTCTTCCTCAGTGAGTATTTGTTGAGTGTGTATGTTGTGCAGGACCTCTGCTAGGCCCTCTGGCTATTCTAAGAATAGGATCTGACCAAGCCTTAAGAAGCATATAGTTTCATGGGAGTAGCAGAAATGTTAAATTGTGGTTTGTTTATGGTAGATGTTCAGTTTCACAGGTCCTGTTGAAGAGAGGGAATGATATCTAAGAGTGTACCTAGGGGAGAGAGAATATTCAGGAAGGCTTTCACACAGAGGCAGAATTAAGCTGAAGTTTATTTATGGAGGACTTAGTTTGTGACAGGCACTATTCTAAGTGCTGTACATCTATTTGAATAAGGTAGATACTGTTGCTGTTCCTAATTTGCAGATGAGGAGACAGACCATAGAGAGTTTAAACACTTACCCAAAGTCAGTGAGCTGTTACGTTTTCTGTAGGGTTTGAAAAAGCCTTGTTCTTAACCATTAATCTGTACTGTTCTCAAGTAACAAATAGGCTGTAAACAAGCAGCAAGATACAGAGATACAGAATGCTAGAGGATAAGCCAAAGACTTGAACAGACTGCAGGGAAGTGTGAAGAGCACATCGCATGTTTAGGGAACATTGGTCAGAGAGGGGTGCCTGGAATATAGGGTCCCAGAGTGGGATTCCCAGAACACGCCAGGCCTGTGGCTGCTCTTACTGTGGATGCTGTTTGAAATGTCAGGCTCCTCTTTAAGTCTGCCGTGTGTCCTCTGCTGCACAGGCATGATGCCTTTGTTGTCGTGTCTCCCTCCAGCCACCTTGCTCAGTATGGATAGAATGTCGGCCTGGGGACTGAAGGGTCCTGGGTTTAATTCTGGTCAAGAGCACATGCTCAGGTTGTGGGCTCGATCCCCAGTAGGGGGCATGCAGGAGGCAGCCAATCCCTGATTCTCTCTCATCATTGATGTTTCTATCTCTCCCTCTCTCTTCCCCTCTGAAATCAATACAAATATATAAATAAAATAAAATAAAAAATTTTAAAAAGGAATAAGAAAAACTCCAAAAATGTTTCCAATATATTTATTGGAAAAACTACATGTATAAGTGGACCTATGCAGTTCAAACCCATGTTTGGTCATGGTATTTGCTAAATGTGGTGTTGCAATTTTGTTTTCACTTGCAGATGGGAAATAGAAATAAAGGAAGAGTACAAAACTCAACAGCATCTCACTTACAGTGAGACTGAGCCCTCCCGCTATAATACATTAGCAAATAATTGATTGCTTTAGACATTGCTGTATAATAGAATAATTTTCCCTTCTTTTATCAATGTAAGCTGTTCAGGTTTCAGAAGAGACTCATGACCATTTTACTTCTATGTTCATTAAGATTTTGCATAGTATGCATACTGTAGTTTGGATTCTGAACTTGAAAGTAGAAATTTACCATCCTCGAGAGCCCAAACTCTCAGATTTTCCTTTTAAACACTCTTTCAGAGTACAGTAAGTCCTCACTTAATGTCATTGGTAGGTTCTGCATCTTGAAGTGAAATGACACATAATGAACCCCGTTTTACCACAGGCTAATTGATATAAACAAGAGCTAGGTTCCTATGGCATCTCATCAACGTTATAAAGCAGTGATGGCGAACCTTTTGAGCTCAGCGTGTCAGCATTTTGAAAAACCCTAACTTAACTCTGGTGCCATGTCACATATAGAAATATTTTGATATTTGCAACCATAGTAAAACAAAGACTTATATTTTTGATATTTATTTTATCTATTTAAATGCCATTTAACAAAGAAAAATCAACCAAAAAAATGAGTTTGCGTGTCAGAGGTGTCATAGGTTCGCCATCACTGTTATAAAGCAACAATGCAATCTGAAATCCTGGTATATAGGGAGATTGTGTGATTGCAATGCATGAGCCCAGAGATAATTCACATGCTCAGTAGCTTAATTTATAGATATTGCTTTCATGTAATTATCCAGTTCAATTAGAATGAATAACTTTAGAAAATGACTGGCCATTATGGCCAGAATTTGCACACATTACATTATTTGCTAAGTGGGCTTTTATAATTCATTTTAAATTTACAAACGCAGCCCCAGATGAACTGGAAAGAATACAGCCAGTTTACTGTATTAATAAAGGGACAACAATTTGATCATTTGTCTTCAAAATTTGTTCTTCAAAAGTAATTTTAAAGTATTTATTTATAGAATGTGAATCATATAGATTTTTTTTCTTACTGTTACGTTTCTAATCCTTTGCTGATATTTTTCTACGTAGTTGCCCTGGGACCAGAAAGAAGAAAATCTGACTCAGGAGTTATGTTGCCAACTCTCAGGGTCTCCCTTATCCAAGACATGAGGTATGTGTTGGATGTGCTAGCAAGTGGTGGTAGCTTTGAAATATTATGGCTTTCACTTAAATTGCTCAAATGATTTTGGCTGTGTTTATTTTTGGCTTATGTATTCTCAAAAAACACATTTTTATAACCTTGTTTATTTTACCTTCACACTATTGTATTTTCCTGACATTAAATTCGAAGGGGAAACACAACTGAAAAGAGTTTTAAAGTAGCCGTAAATTATTTTACAATTTCTTTTGTTCAGCTTTTTTAAACCTCCTTAAATACTTGCTACCCACAAGTAAAGTTCAAAAAAAAAAAATCTGCAAATAAGGACAAGTTACTTGGCAGAAAAAATGTTGCCAAGCAGATTTAATTTGAAGCAAATGCAAATCTGAGAGTTACCACTTGCAGTTACTGGCCTTAGAAATCATTAGAAGGCATCAGTGTGTCTAAGAAGATGTATTGAATGAGGGAGGCAGAGGTTTTTTTCTTTTAAACATTTTAGGTACAATACTTACTCAACTCTTAAAAATATGTGGGCTTAAAGTGAATATTATAACATTTATAACACTTGTAACTTTATTGCTTTAGTAATATTAATAGGATGTTTATTTGGTTTGTCAGATACTTGTGACTGAAAAGCATAACTGTAATGAGTGGCAGCATAGTAGAGTGGTAAAACATCCTGGCTTCACCACTTACTAGCTGTGTGACCCCAAGCAATTTTTGTAACTTCTCTGTGCCTCAATTTCCCATCCCTCAAATAGAGATTCAAAAAGTTATCTATCTTATAGCATTGTAAGTGAATTAGTCTATAGCAGTGATGGCAAACCTTTTGAGCTCGGCGTGTCAGCATTTTGAAAAACCCTGACTTAACTCTGGTGCTATGCCACATATAGAAATTTTTGGTATTTGCAACCATAGTAGAACAAAGATTTATATTTTTGATATTTATTTTATATATTTAAATGCCATTTAACAAAGAAAAATCAACCAAAAAAATAAGTTGGCGTGTCACCTCTGACATGCGTGTCATAGTTTCGCCATCACTGGTCTATAGTCTATTACTGTAAAAAGTTTCAAGAAGTACTTGGCTCATAGTAAGAGCTCAGTAAATGTTGGTTTTTGTAATCTGAGTAAGTTCATGTACTTATAACTTAACTGTTATATTCCTTGGTAGATGACATGTAGTTGTCCTCGTGTGGCTTATGATTCCTTTTGATGGCCAGCATAAGAGGAGTAGTTGTAACTACTGCTCACTTATTCCATTGACTGTTAGATCAATGAACAGTGACCTCTCTAGTCTAAGCCCCTAAAATTTCTCACCTGGATTACATCATGGTGCCCATATTTCTGTGCTTGCCCTACTCTATCCTCCCCCTGGATATATGGTGATCTTACAATAACGTCTAGATCACTTGCCCTGGCTAGCAATAGTCTATGGGTGTACATCAGGCTAAATATAATCCTATATAACAAAACCCTAATATGCAAAGCGACTGATCAGTGGAATGCCTGGTTGCTATGATGCACACTGACCACCATGGGGCAGATGCTTAACGCAGGAGTTGTCCCCAGTCAGGGCCAGCAAGTGGGTGGTGCTAGGCCACCAGCCAAGACGGGTGCCAGCAGGGGGTCCTCCCCACCCCCAATTGCCCCGCCAGTCACCCCACAGATTGGCCTTGATCACTGGCCAGGCCTCAGGACCCTACCCTATATATTGGGAACAGTCTCTTAGATTTAAAAATTAAAACCCGGCAAGGCTACTCTAACACTGAAAAAACAGGATGATGCAGCGATGACATGCATGGACTCTGGCTTGCACATTTTGTGGTGAGCCCTGATTCTGACATAACTGTGTGACAAAGCCATTTATTTAACTTCTCTCTGCTTCAGTTTTTCCACCCATAAGATGGGGAAAATGGTACTACTGCCTCAGAAGGATCATGTTATCTACTACTTTTTATAATCAGGGCAAAAAAATGTAGCTGCCCATACAACAGCAAGATGCCTTTCATCTGTATGAAAAGTATGGTCACTGGTACATGCAGCCTCCCAGATTGTGAGAGGGATGTCCCTCGAGGGGCCCCAGATTGCGAGAGGGCACAGGCTGGGTTGAGGCCCCCCCACCCCCACCCACTCCAGTATAACCTTGGATAATCAATATTGGTTATTGATGTCCTGTGACTTCCCACTTAAGGGTACTTTGGCTTTTAATTTTCAGACTTTGTCATATAAAAATATCTGAGAGACTTCCCCCCTAAGTATCCTAAAGTGATGTTTTGGGCAAATGATAGATGCTTTTAATAAAACCTTGATTGATTGATTACTTCCAAAAGGTGCTTAGTAAGGTGGAAAGGCGTTGCCCAGAAAAGACAAGCTGACTTCCCTAACGTTTTATTACAGAAAATTTTAAATACAGCAAAGTCAAAAGATTTTATAGTAAACACATCCATATACCCATCACCTAGATTCTACCGTTTATGTTTTTCTATGGCTTTTTAAAAAGTTTTAATACACACACACACACATCATAAAATTTACCATTTTAACCATCCTATATAATAAAGAGCTAATATGCAAATTGTCATCATGCCATAATGGCTCAGATACTCAACACTGAGGAGAGAGGAATGGGGACCAGTCAGGCTGCGGCCCGGGAGAGGGAAAAGCCGCCCACCCTGTGGTCCCAGGCACCAGCGCTGCACCTATGCCTGTGGCCTGGGAGAGGGACAAGCCGCCTGCCTTGTGGTCCTGGGTGCCAGCGCTGCGCCTATGCCTGTGGCCTGGGAGAGGGACAAGCCGCCCACCCCGCGGTCCCGGGTGCCAGCGCTGCGCCTATGCCTGTGGCCTGGGAGAGGGACAAGCCGCCCGCCCCGTGGTCCCGGGCACCAGTGCTGCGCCTATGCCTGTGGCCTGGGAGAGGGACAAGCCGCCTGCCCTGCGGTCCTGGGTGCCTGCCGCTGCAGCCCAGGCAAAGTCACGGGCCCATGGTCCCTTACAGCTGCGGCCAGCCCAGGTGTAGCCAGCCCGGGTCCTGGGTGCCTGCGGCTGGCCAGAAGGAGGGAAGCCTGGGGCTCAGGTGCGGGGTGAGGCAGAGGCGATTAGGGGCGATCAGGCCAGCAGGGGAGCAGTTAGGGACAATCAGGGCAGTAAGGGAGCAGTTAGGGGCGATCAGGCAGGCAGGCAGAGCGGTTAGGGGCAATCAGGGAGGCAGGCAGGCAAGCAGTTAGGAGCCAGCGGTCCTGGGTTGCGAGAGGCAGTCAGACATCCCCTGAGGGGTCCCAGATTGGAGAGGTTGCAGGCCAGGCTGAGGGACCCCCTTCCCATGCACGAATTTCATGCACTGGGCCTCTAGTTTTTACTTGTCAGTCGGTAGCACTGAATACATTTGCATTGTTGTGCAACCATCACCACTGACCATCTCCAGAACTTTTTTGTCAGCCCAGACTGAAACTCTGTACTCATGTAAACAGTATTCTCCCTCCCCCACAAGCCACTACTCTATTTTATGTGTCTATGAATTTGACTCTTCTAGGTACCTCATGTAAGTAGAGTCATACCTTTTGCATTTGTTTAATTTCACTTAGCATAATGTTATTGCGGTTCATCTATAGCATATATCAGAATTTTCTTCCTTTTTTAAGGCTGAATAATATTCCATTGTATGTGCAAACCACATTTTGTTATCCATTTATTTATTCATCAATAGACATTTGAGTTGTTTCCACCTTTTGGCTGTTGTGAATAATGCTGCTATGAACATGTGTATTTGAGTCCCTGCTCTCAGTTCTTTTCTGTATATACCCAGAAGTGGAATTGCTTGGTCATATAGTAACTCTATGTTTAATTTTTTAAGGAACCATCGTACTCTTTTCCACAGTGACTGCACCATTTACATTCCCACATGCAATGCGCAAGTGTTAAGTTTCTCCACATCCTCACCAGCACTAGTTATTTTCTGTTTTGTTTGTTTGTTTGTTTGTTTGTTTGTTTGGACAATAGCTGTCCTAATGGGTATGACTTCCCGGTTTCTTATGCCATACATAGCCATAGGTCTTTAAATGTTAAGCTAGAGCAGGGGTGGGCAAACTTTTTGACTCGAGGGCCACAATGGGTTCTTAAACTGGACCGGAGGGCCGGAACAAAAGCATGGATGGAGTGTTTGTGTGAACTAATATAAATTCAAAGTAAACATCATTACATAAAAGGGTACGGTCTTTTTTTTTTTAGTTTTATTCATTTCAAACAGGCCGTAGTTTGCCCGCGGCTGAGCTAGAGTCTTCAGCTTTATAAGCTCGGATACCAACTCATTAGTAAACCAAAATGTAATTAGACTCTCAGGCACTGACTCTGGGTAACCCAACAGGCTTACTTCAGACATCTAAGAGATACGGCGAAATAATGGGCGGGATCCACTCCTGTCCAGTTGTCTATGAAGCCAATTTATTATTTCCTTAACCGATGACTTGATATTCTTTCACTGATATGGGTAGGCTCGGGGGGGAATCTAGATTAAAGTCAGAAGGCATTGTGCTCAGGAGCAGAGATGTGGAAGCCTGATCTTCCCTCTTCAAAATAGTGATCCTGGTGCTCATGGAACCGATGTCATCTCAGAAAAGCCCTGCAGAAGCACTGCCCGTGTGTCTCTCGTTTCTCTGCTCCATTCTGCCTTTTTATTTATTGTTGTTCTTATTCGTGATATGTTTACTTTAGAATTTAGCTCTCAGTGGACCAGCTTATTTCCCTATTTTCAAATTCTGGGTTAGTACTTCATGTAAGTCCATAATTGCTACCTAAGTAGTTGCTGTAATAGATCCAAGAAGAACATCCAAGTAATATTCTAAATTCTGATTTCTTTAAATCTGGACAATTGAAGGAAAAGTGTATTATCTAAGCCGTGGGTAGTATATCTCTCTGAGCCCATGCTCTCTGTTGGGCACATGCCTCTGTCCTTACCTCATCTTCTCAAGTTTCTCTCTTGAGGCAAATACATTGGTAGTTTAGGGACTTTGGGTTCTCACAGATGTCGAGAGTCTTGGCACTGGACTGCTTAGCAGCTGTAAGGAGCCCCTTTGTCTTAGTATCTCAGACCACTTCCCAAGACTTTCAGAGTTGCCAAATATCACCAATTGTCACTTGTAGAAAGACTTTTTGTTTGAATGAGAAAGGCTGGGGAGAGCAAATAACTGGACTGATTATCTACATGGAGAAGAGGAGGATTATCGTGGTGTTACCATTATTACCAGTTTTTTCCCAAAATAGCTCTGTGCATATCATCTAGCTGTTGGGCCTTATGTTCTTAATGACAAAATATAATTAATGATGCTGGGCATAGTAGAACATTGTATGATCTAGGAGATTGTGAATACTATAATCCAAATATAGATATTCTGAATAGGTAAACAAATGAACAGGATGTGAGTAAATCCTAGAAATAATCTATTTTACATATAAAGACGGGGATAAGTTACTTAAGGGTAAATTGGCAAGTGACTTTATCTTTTTATAAATAATGTGTACACGTGTGCTAATGAGCATCTGGTTTTATTCAGCACTAAAACTGAGTAGTCATGATTGATTTTGTTACCCCTGGGAAGGACTATTTTGAGGAATTTTTATGACTGTACAGGATATGAGCTTATTCTAAAATTGGCTGATTCTTTTATTTCTCTAATAAACATTACTGGGGTTCGCTATTCATGCAGTAAAATAAGCACCAGGAAATGTAGATGACATTTATTTAGGTGCTGTCAATCTTAGAAATCATTCAGTTTGGGGAAACAGAGTCTTGGCACCAGATTACTTAGCAGCTGTAAGGAGCCCAGGACGCACAATAAGAAGCTCATTCGAACTGGTATCTTCCAGAATCCAAGAGCAAGAATTGCAGCTGGAATGGAAGCAGTCTTGTTATAGGTCACTCTCTGTCTCACAGGACGCAGATCCTCTCTGCTTCTCCCGTTCTCTCCCTTCCCTTCCGGCTGTATGGTGCACATGCTCGCCCAAGCCCTGGCTTTAACATCCTGTCTTATTTTTGGCATTCAGTGAGAACTCACTTGGTACTAATTCTCAGTTGCTGAGAGGAAATCTGATTGGCTCAGCTTAGGTCAGGCATGTGCCTCTGATCCAGTCAGTTGTGGCTGAGGGGTTAGGAGCGTGGTGCCGTGGGTCATGGTGGCCCCCGGAGTTGTGCCTCCTGGGTCTGTGGAAGGGAAGCTTCTCCAGGAATGAGGCTGCCCGAAAGAAGTGATTGGATGAAAACGGGTGGCGCCTCTAGAATAACACTTGTGGTCTCTGTGACCTTGGGTGGGTCACTCAGTTTTCTCATCTTTACAGTGAAATAATGATGTTCTCCCTCTCGCTGGTTATTGTGATGATCAGATAAGACAAAGTACATAACAACTTCTTTAAGTTAGAAAGCTTTGTATCAAGGTTAAAAACTAAATCAAGTAGATAAGTTATTTAAACCACACCATGTATGCTTTTCTGTGAAGTAATGGCTCTGTTTTAGAAATAATACTTGTATGATATTATGCTGAATGCCATTATAACTATCTATAATAAATTATTCCAACTAAAAAGACATTAAAATGGTATGACTACATGCCCCGGCCAGTGTGGCTTAGTTGGTTTGAGAGTCATTTCGTATCCTGAAAGGTTGTGGGTTCCATTCCCAGTCAGGGCACATACCCAGGTTGCAGGTTGTGGGTTCCATTCCCGGTCAGGGCACATACCCAGGTTGCAGGTTGTGGGTTCCATTCCCGTTCAGGGCACATACCCAGGTTGCAGGTTGTGGGTTCCATTCCCGGTCAGGGCACATACCCAGGTTGCAGGTTTGCATCCCCAGTTGGGGGTGAGTATGGGAGGCAACAGATCTCTTGCACTCGCTCTCGTTCTCGCTCTCGCGCTGTGTGTGTGTGTGTGTGTGTGTGTGTGTGTGTGTGTGTGTCTTTTCCTCCCTTCCTCTCTATAAAATCAATTTTTAAAAAAATCACATACCACATATCCTCAGTGGAAGATTTAATAAAAAAGGTATAGCCACACAGAAAAACATTGAATAGATTTGGATTAAAGTTGAATAACACAACACATATACATGTCTAAGCATACAATTAGATAGTGATATACAAAGCAACAGAGCTGTCTTGTGGTATTTTTTTTTCAGCTCCTAATATGTGCTGGGCCTTATAGGGTACAAAGAAGGATGCAAAGCTACTCAGAGGTATTGGGCTCCTTGCTTGTCCTCAGGGAACTTGGCAAGATGAGAAAAACATAAGCCAAGAGAAGATGATCAAAGTAGTAGGCAGTGCACGATACATGTAGCTTAGACTACAGAATTTCATAAATTAGAGAGGTCGTTGGAGGCTGTCACGGTCAAGGGAAGCGCTCCAGAAGCTGGGATTCAGACATGAATAGAATCACAGAGGGAAGCAAGTAATGGAATGCGGCATCGCAGGAGCCACTGCTGTGACAAATCCCTCCCACCAAAAACACCAGCACAAATGCTTTTATGATGGGAATGCTGATTGCCACCTAAATAAAATGCGCTTCGTTTTATGTGCTGCAGTTCTCCCCATTTTCCTTAAGCACAGATTGTTTTTCAAATTATAATTATTTTCCACTTTGTCATTCTTCACCATGTCGGCAGGTACCTGTTTAAGGCCAGCGTAACACTAATTTCAGTAGAGTTTACTGTTTTAGAGTAGGAAGGGTATGTAGGGAAACATTAAGTACTTATCAACCTCCATATAGATTCATTTTCAGTGAATTCATTTTGAATTAACTTGGTATTCTTGGATCATGGGAGCTCAGAGCCCGCTCGGCACTCCCGGGGTTCCATGTAAATACTGTCGAAAGTTAAGTGGTAAACGCCTGAGCATCTCCCCAGGTCAGCCGTGCCATCCTTTGGGGCATGTCGGTAGGGTTGAGGGACAGCCCGTGCTGTTTCAGGAGCTCACCCCGGGGCTGTCAGGGCTCAGCACTGCCGCCGCCACCACCAATAAGAACCAGGCTCCAGGGGGGGCTGCTTGTCCCCAGCTTTCTCCCTCATGACCAGACATCATGGTATTAGCCCTTTAAAAATAAGTGCGTCATAAATCTCATTCACACTGTCTGCATGCCACCTGGTTAGTGTGTCTGTGTGCTGTCATGTAATGCTTTACGTCTTGTTTATCAAGAGTGTTTGATTATCAGTCAGCACTTAGGATCGAGGGCCTAAATGTTCAGATCCAAGGACTGAGCGAGAGGGAGGAAAACAGAGAAATGTGTGTGCGTGGCAAGATAAGGCTTTAGTCCTTATTCTGAAAGCTTAGAATCATCAGACAAAAGGTTTCGTTGCAATATTTATTACAGCTAGGATGAGTCATTCTAGATTAAAAAAAAAAATCAAAGGCGGATCAGAAGCACAAAGACCTCAGTGACTCACTGTGGTGGTTTTACAATCGCCCCTCCCATAGGCTTGTCCATCCTCCCTGTCCTTTGTCCCCTTAGGAGGAAAATCATTTAGGAAGATAAACACAGCCCTATGGGGTTAGCGTTGACTTCTACATGAATACCAATTTCCACATGTATGTTACATTCAACTGGCGTGTGACCACACAGTGTTTCTTTGTAGCCACACAGCTTTTCAAGTCTTGCAAATTTTTTAAATGTTGAATTTATCAATGCAGTACAGCGTGTCTGCTGATGCCATAGGAAGTAAGGTTTCATCTTTCCCATGTGTTGTCTAGGGCTGCTGCAAATAATTCAGTGGATTAAATTTGCGGCAGATACTTTGTTAAGCTATAGAATAATTATTTTGGATAAAAACCTGAATGTCAGCCTGTTTAGTTTATTTTCCTGAGAGTCAGGAATAACCAAGTGCCAGTTTATCTGTGAAGCTGAAAGAACATAATGAAACATTAAAGGGTGAATGGGTTTCAAATGCTTTGTTTGTCTTAAGATGTAGCCTGTTTGCTTGTGTTTTAAGGGTAATCCTGATGTGGGGCTAGATTCATAACTAAGATAGAACCTTTGAAGGTTTAATCAACATAAACTGTGTCTTACCTGTTGCTTCATTTAAGTATACATGAACTTTCCTGTGCAGAGTGCTGCAACCCTGGGTTCTTCTCCAGTTCTTAGGATCTACATCTTTTCTGTTGCTGCTGTTCCCTAGGCACATTCAGAACATGAGTGAGATCAAGACTGATGTCGGACGAGCTCGGGCGTGGATAAGGCTGTCTCTAGAGAAGAAGCTCCTGTCCCAGCATCTCAAGCAGTTGCTGTCTAACCAGCCACTTACCAGGTGAGACAGATTGAGGTCTTTCGGTGTCTAGGACCTGTGTGCTTACAAAGCACAGTGCAAAAGTTGACAAACTGTAGTTTTGTTTTTCTTACGTAACGAGGAGTCCAGGGCTAGGCGGTCCCCCGTGCCATCCTGGACGCAGGCTCTTTGCCCCTCCTCCTGGACAGCCTACAGTATATGCCGATCACCTATGGTTACAGGACGGCTCCTCTTGTAAAATTAATGAGTCAGAGGGTTTGACTGGTTTAAAAGAAGTGTTACCAACAAACTGCTTTCCTGAAACTCTCAGTCCCACTGTCTGTCGGAATAGCTAGCTATTCATTGCCCCCCACCTCGTTAGCACTGGTCAGCACGTTCTGATCTCTATTAGTTTCGTAGACAAAATGGATTTGTGGTTTGTCCCCCCCCCCCCCCCCCCCCCGCATTGAATTACTGATTAGGTTAAAAATGTTAACTGTCTACATGTTCATTTTTGAGAATTGTCTGTTCTTTCCAGAGTAGAATTTCTACCCGGTTTGTCTAAGCAGAGGTGTTTACTCCTCATGGAGGACATGATGAGAAATAGCCTACACTATTGGGTGCTTGTCCTGCTCTTTCCTAGGAAGCTCTATAAGCGCTATGCCTTTCTGTGTTGCGAAGAAGAAAGAGAACAGTTTCTCTACCATCTCCTCTCCCTCAACGCTGTGGACTACTTCTGTTTCACCAGTGTCTTCACCACCATCAGTAAGTCTGGGGAGCCGCTGTTCAGTGAAGAGTTGCTCGGGCGATGAATGGAATAGGGTTCATATTTTTTAAAGTGAGACATACCCTAGTACACCGAGGTGGGCACTGTGACGCCCCCTCCCGCACCCCTCTCCTTTAGGAATGAAGGGTTCTCAGCTCTCGGCCCTGTGGGGAGGGAGGGCCGCACCTCCTGCCAGGGCCAGCCTGCTCTGATGGTCAGAGGCTGTTCCAGAACTAGCCATCTGGCCATCTGGCGTCATCACGACAGCTCACAGCTCAGCTCTCCCTCCACCAGGCCTGCTTTCTTCTCTCACGTTGATCCCAGAAGCAACATTCTGGTGCTGATTTCCGACTCAGGGTCTGCCTCCCAGGAAACTCAGTCTGCAACAGGAGTGGGATGGACATGAAAAGGGATATATTTCTAGATCTTATCCAAAACCCATAAACTCAAAGAATCAGTAGGTGATAAAAATAAACTTTTCTACCTGAACATCGTTACTCTGTGGTGATTCCGAAAGACTTCAGGATCTTGCTTGGGAGTGTAGGTTGTGGAGGGAGGAGATGCTGATGGGTTTGGATAAGCTGAATTAAAGCGTATATTCTCTTCACCATTGCCGATTCTTACGAGCTGTGGGTCCCCTTTCCTAGTTTATAGACTTTTTACTTGTATCAGTTTGGAGTTAGGTTCAGCTGCAAGTTTCAGAAACTTGCAAAACAGTGGTTTAAACAAATTAGTAGTTTTATTTTTCTTGCATAACAAGAAGTCTTGTAGTAGGCAGTCCATAGTGCCATCATGGACATGGCTCTTTTTTTTTTTCCCAATCCTCACCTGAGAATATTTTTTCCATTGATTTTTAGAAAGAGTGGAAGGGGAGAAGAGGGGAGGGAGATAGAAAGGAAGGAAAAGAGAGAAACATTGATGTGAGAGAGACACATCGATTGGTTGCCTCCTGCACATGCCCTGTCTGGAGCCAGGAGCAAACCTTCAACCGAGGTACGTCCCCTTGACGAGGAATCAAACCCGCGACCCCTTGGTCCTCAGGCCAAAGCTCTAACCACTTGGCACCACCGGCCAGGGCGTGGACATGGGCTCTTGGTCCCTCTCCTCTTAGACAATCCTCAGTGTGTGCTCATCATCTCCTGGTCACAGGATGGCTATTCTCAGTCCACCTTCCAGCAGGAAGAAGGAAGAAATGCCAAGGAAAAAGCGTCAGAATCTGTGCTCGGAAAACATAATTTTCCAAGCAGTCACCATAAACATCACTAGCATTCCACTGGCCAGAATCCTGTAGGTTTTTGGTTTTTCTAGTCTCTGGTAGAGGCAGACAAGGAGCACTGGAGTTGAAATGGTTATTGAGCCAACCTATCTGGGAAGCTGCTATTCATTCATTGGGTTATTAGGTTGTTGCAGGAATGAAAAGCTAAAATGTTATATACAATTTTGAAAGAGAAGAAATAGGACTCCTAGAGTCCTCCTTATATCTGCAGATTCCTCTTTAGCTAAGAAAGTCTTTCAATTTGAGGAACTGAGATACTTCATGAAAGAAATATTCTGAGTTTAAATAATGTTACTTTTTACACTTGATGAAATCACTGTGGTGCATCTGCGGGCCCTCTGCAGGCCCTTTTCTGCAGCTCTTCTAATCCTGTCAGTGAAAGAAATTAGAGAAACCTCTGGCGCCCAAAATAGTCTCGCGCTAACCTCTTCTGCTTTCAGTTCCAAAAACGACTTGATTCTTGTGATGACTAAAACATGCAAGTAGGGCCTTTCCCCTAGCATTTCCTCTCCTTCGGCCAAAATAGGCAGACAGACGGGGAGGTGATCCGCTCCACGTGAAGAACGTGGTCTGTGTAAAATCAGGGAAACGAACCGTTTGTCCCATTCATGTTCCTCCCCTCAGAATGCACTGAACCCTGAGCCCGTATGGGGAGGCGGCACCTGGGCATCTGGCCCAGTCAGTGTTTCTCTCCTTCCCGGTACATCTTTCAGGGAGGGCTTCTCATACGCCCTCTGGTAACCGAGTGAGCAGAAATCCCAAGAATTACAACAAAAGATATGGATTCTACCCTGCTTTAGGAGCGGGTGGGGGGGGGACAACAACAACGTATGGCTCTGAAGGATAAGGATGTGCTACTGTTTGAGCCGCCCCCATTTTTTAAAGGAAAATGGAGGGGGCGTGGTAATGTTTGACTTATTGTGTTCCCACATTTGAGCAAAAGACAGTGGTGGGACAGTGACACCTAGTGGTGTGCCTTTGAAGAGCCTTCAGAAGACAAGGTTTCCCAGCTGTTTCCACGTCTTGATTCTTTTCCTGAGGCCCCTCCGTGAGTCGTGAGTCACCTTCATAGCTTTCCAAGTTGTCGTTTAAAGACCTTACGCTGTGTCCAGAGTGGCGGTGCCGTTGTTCATTTTTCTCGGCTTTGCATATTGAGCTGTAAAATTGGGATGGGGACGTTCGGAAGTGCCATGCCTTAAAGCACTGCCCAAGACGGTCAGCAACAGGGATGCTAGCCAAGAAGTCATCCAGCCCCTTTTTCATATGAAACCAGACAGGAGCCGTGCTCATGTGTACTCGGTTTTGAAACAAAATTAATAAAAGCGTTAAAGCAATGAAAACACTTTACAGCACTGTTAGTGTTCATGTCCTCAAGTATTCTGGTGCTAATGCCTGAGATTGTTTATAAATGCACGGGGATGTATATCGCCAAGGTGATATGCATGCCATGCGCACATGGTGGTGTATATGCTGGGGAAACCACCTCAGGTATCAGGACTTAGGTCTTACAAACTAGACCTCATTTTTCTAAACTAGGAGGGGTTATGATCTCATCTTTTTGTCTAAGTACATCTTGATAGATCATAAAAAGTGAATTATCTGTGGCCCTGGCCGGTGCGGCTCAGTTGGTTGAGCGTCCTCCCATGCACCAATAGGTCGGCAGATCGACTCCCATCAGGGCACGTGCCTGGGTTGCGGGCTCGATCCCCAGTGTGAGGTGTTCAGGAGGCAGCCAATCAATGTTTCTCTCTCCCTTTCTCTCTCTAAAAATGAATAAAACATATTTTTAAACACATATTTAAGTGACTTATCTGTGAAAGCCAACAGCGTTCTTAATGCATGTTTGTTTTGTTATCAGGAGAGTTGTATTGTAATTTTTAACTAATTTCAGCATTTTCCTCCAGTGATTCCGTATAGGTCGGTGATCATCCCCATCAAGAAGCTGAGCAACGCGATCATCACCTCGAACCCCTGGATCTGTGTGTCGGGAGAGCTGGGAGACACGGGAGTGATGCAGATCCCCAAAAACCTCCTCGAAATGACCTTTGAGGTCGGTCCCAGCAGAAAGCGTCATATGTGATTCCACACAAGGATTTCAGTTTCGCCTTTTCATTTTCCTGGAGTCAGATAATACACAGGCGCAGTCAGGCATGCAGGATCACTTCTGTGGTCATGTAGCTGTGGGCAAGTTGTCGGAAACATGCTAATTTCTTTTGGATCTTGGTTGTAAGTTTCATTGTTAAGCTCTGCTTTCCTACCTGTGACGGTGCACTGGGGCCTTTTCCAGTCCTGCTTCAGGACCCTGAGCCTTAGCACTCAGTGCTTTCCCCACAGCAGTCCTCGTCCTCACGGCAGACGCTCCCACCTGACCCTGGCCACAGGGACAGGAGAACTGCGTCCCTGTTCATGGCTTGCAGACTACGTGGTGACATTTATAAAGTGATTTTGTGAAAATACCTTTCAGTGTCCTCATTCAGGTCTGGCTTGGGGAAGTATTCCCGCGTGTGTGAGCTCACAGGCAGGTAGGGCCCGGCATGCTGGAGGAAGCCAGTGCCTGCTCTGAAAGGAAGTGGTACTAACTGAGCGCCCTGTTCTCATGTTCCTTGCGGCCCAGGAATAGCTCTCTCCACACAGAATCCCATTTGGGCCCTATCTACCCAGTGAACTCACAGCCATCTATATATATATAAAAGCCTAAGCAACCATTCGACTGATAACTATGATGCGCACTGACCACCAGGGGGCAGATGCTCAACACAGGCATGGAAACATGGAACAGAATGATGAAGCTCAAAGGGAATGGTGAGGGAGAGGGCAGGAAGAGATTAACCAAAGATCTTACATGCATACTAGAGGTCTGGTGGCATGGATTCGTGGCCTTTGGGGATCGAGCCAAAACTGGCCCAGTGCACAGATTCTTGCACTGGTGGGGTCCCTCAGCCTGGCATGTGGGGATCGGGCAGAAACAAGCAGTCCAACATCCCCTGAGGGGTCCCAGATTGCGAGAGGGTACAGGCCAGGCAGAGGGACCCCACCAGTGCATGAATCCGTGCACCAGGCCACTAGTCTGTATATAAAAGATTAAAACCCTTAGCTTTTCTTTGACTACCAAGAATGGAACATAACTACACCGTACGTCCCATCAATGCTGCTTCCAAACACTCTCACGTCTGTCTGGTTCCTTCCATCTCAGCAGCCACAGCTAATTTAAGGTGCCATCCCCCTCACCTGAGTCACTGTGTTGCCTTCTCACTGCAATACAAAGTCAGGGGCCTAAGAACTCAGCCCTGATAGTCCCAACTGCACATTGGCAGTGGGGTCTGTGATCTCTTATCAGAATTTAAAAGTCAGCATTTAAGTGACATGTATTTTTACCATTCCTGTTATGATCACTTTCTTTTGTACTTGTCCACAAAGGGCCAGGAAAGATGTTGATAGCTATGCTGTCTTGTTGTTGTTTTTTAACAATAGCTTTGAAGATCTCTAGTAGATGAGGTTTAAGGTCAGTTCTGCCTGAGTATTTTATTTGGAACAAAAATAGCTGGGTCAGTGATTTCTTTCTTTTTCTATCTATAGGTGTGTTTCTGACCTCTCTGTAACTGAACCTAATAGCACCCTTTTTCCACTTCTTGAAACTCTTCTCATCCTTTAAGGCACACATCACTGTCTGTGTGGTGTTTCTAGGTTCCCCGGTTAGAAATAAATTTCCTTCTCCAGTGTCTGCTTCCACTGCTTACGTCGCGAGTCTAGCACCCTGTGCAGTCCCTTCATTAGGCAAAGTCCACCCGTCTCCTGTATCATGAGAGGGGATGTATTGGCGGTGACTGTGCTTCTCCAGTGCAGAGCAGAGCACACTGGCAGGGTGGGCCCTGTGCAGCGGAGGGAGGTGGAACCACAGCACCACAGCGAAAGCCCAGAGGAAGTGGGATGGGACGGGCGCTGAGTAACCTGTGCTCCTGTCCCCACAGTGCCAGAACCTGGGGAAGCTGACCACTGTGCAGATTGGTCACGACAACTCGGGACTGTTAGCCAAGTGGCTAGTGGATTGTGTCATGGTCAGAAATGAAATCACGGGACACACATACCGGTGAGTACACGTCCTTAGGAACTCAGAGTTCCTGTTGCGAGACTTGCTAGACAAGAAAAGGTTTAAGAACTGTTTCTTTCTAAAGCTTTCCCTCTGCCCCCTGTATCTTAGTTTAGTTATTTGGGGTTGTTTTGGTTTGGTTTGATACAAACTTGCCCCCAAAAAATACTTTACAAAAACACATTTTGTTCACTGCTAATGCTTAGTTCACAAGTGTTGATTGTTGTGTTGAAAACGATTGCTGTAACTCTGATAAGAAAGGAAGAAAGAAACAAGCTTAAAATAATTTCAGTGTGAGGACAGGATCTCTCGGACTCCGCTAGTTCCAGCCAGCACCCCTTTCTGTGAACATTCTCTTTTCTTCTGTAACTTATCTCCGATACTCATAGTTTGAGACTATTCTAAGAGTTATTTTAGCCTGGCCTGTATGGCTCAATAGTTGAGCATTGACCCATGCACCAAGAGATCGCTGGTTTGATTTCCAGTCAGGGCACATGCCTGGGTTGTGGGCTTAATCCCCAGTAGGGAGCATGCAGCAGGCAGTTGATCAAAATTGATGTTTCTCTCTCTTCCCTCCTCTTTCTCTGAAATGAATTTTTTTAAATCTCAAATTTTAAAAAAAGAATTATTTTAATTCAGTTGGGTGTGATAATAACCTATGGCTATATGAGAGAGAAAACGTCTTTATTATTTAGAGATTTATACTGAAGTGTTTTACATGTCCTAGTGTATGTAACTTACTTTTAAAATGCTTCAACAAAAAATGATAAGTCTAGGTGATAAAAATACAGGTGTTTGTTATACTGTTATTTTCTCTATTTTTCTGTGTTTGAAATTTTTCATAATTAAACAACCCACAGGCACTAAAATGGTGGGCTTTACTCATGGTGCTATTTTTTAAATTCTGATTAAAACGAGTAAATGAAATACTGGTGATGCAGAAGGTGGTGTTCTGTGGTTGGTTGGTTTTCGTCCGGCTAGGTTCCCGTGCGGGCGGTGGCTGGGGAAAGGCGTTGATGACGGGAGCCTGGAGCGGATCCTCATTGGAGAGCTGATGGCGCCCGTGGCAGATGAGGACCTGGCGAAGCAGTGCCGGACGCCCCCCCAGCAGAAGTCGCCCACCACGGCCAGGAGGCTGAGCATCACTTCACTGACGGGAAAAGCCACCAGTAAGTTGGTCTTGTATTTCTCAGTCTGTCGCAGATGGTGCAGGCGTCATGTAGCCATTTCACAGAAAACTCTCACATTAATGAATCGTGGCAGGGAGGTTACAAAGAAGAATGCTGAGGAAAATTAACTTGGGAGAAGGGGCTTCAGAAAAGTGGGGAGAGAAAAAAAGGAAGAAAAAATAAGGCAAGACATTACAAATAATTAAAAGCCTGGAGAATTCGGATGTTAAAACTCAGTAAAAATGCATTCTCTGTTTCAATTAAGCTATGGAAAAATGAATAAGTAATATTTTGCCTGAAACCTAAAAGAGGAATACAAAATTGTTTGGTATTACAATACTCCGACATAGCCACATTTAGTTACATAGAGCCCTTTATTCTAAGAGAAATTCTAAAAACCCCTGTCCCTACCCTCCAGCTTCATATAAGTGATGAAACAAGATACTGTAAAGGAGTGAGTTTTGTGGGTGGCATACTGTGTTCACCTGTCATTTTTACTAGTACAGTAAACTCCTAATTTATACTAATGTGGTCTTTAGTAGGCTGAATAACGTCTCCCAGGATATCAGATCTAATGCCTAGAATCTGTAAATGTTGCTTTCTTTGGGAAAAGATGTAATTAAGTTAAGGATTTTGAGATAGAGAGATTATCCTGGATTTATCGAGGGGGGCCCTAAAAGCTATCACATGTATTCTTACAAGTGGGAGGCAGAGGGAAATCACACACACAGAGAAGACGACGGTGTAAAGATGGAAGCAGAAACTGGAGTGATGCAGCCACAGCCATGGACTGCCAGCAGCCACCAGAGGCTTGGCGGGGCAAGGGCACCTTCTTCCACAGAGCCTGGAAGGCAACATACACTGCGGGCACCTTGGCCTCCAAGACTGTGAGAGAATACATTTCTATTGTTGTAAGCCACCCAGCTTGTGGTTATCTATCACTGGAGCCACAGAAAACTAAGGCAGTGTGACTTAGTGAAAAAATTACAGAAGTTTATCAGTGAGGTAGTTTCATTTTAGTTACAGACAATAACCATAGTAGAATAACAAAAGTAACTGAGAAGCCCTTAGTTTACTAACAAAGCAGTTTCCTTATCAGTGGTTCTCAACCTTCCTAATGCCGCGACCCTTTAATATAGTTCCTCATGTTGTGGTGACCCCCAACCATAAAATTATTTTCGTCGCTACCTCATAACTGTAATTTTGCTACTGTTATGAATCGTAAATATCTGATATGCAGGATGTATTTTCAGGGGTCGCGACCCACAGGTTGAGAACCGCTGCCTTAGATAGTATTCATGATTAGAATGATTTCTAAAGACCCCCCCTCCTTATTTCTTAAATTACTTCCCTGACTCATAAATGCTTTCTGTAGTCAGAAGTAAAATTTACACCATGCACCCACCAGAATCAATAAAATTTAAAAGACTGATAATAGCAAATATTGCTAAAGATGGAGAACAGTGCAGTGCTCATACACTGCTTGTGGGAATGTAGAAGGAAAAACAGTTCAGTTTCTTATAAAGATACTAGTGGCCTGGTGCACAGATTCATGCACATTGAAAGGAAATTAATTAGAAGGTGGCCAGAGGGGCCAGACTGAGCAAGATAGGCTGGACATTCCCTGGAGCCAACCTCCCGCAGTCCCTCCCTGGCCGGCTGCACCTGGGGCAGCACTGCAGCTTGAAGGGTGTCTGCGGAGTGAGCGGGGTCCCTCCAGCAGGTGGGGGTCCCTCAGCCTGGCCTGCGGGGATCGGGCCGAAACTGGCTCTCCAACATCCCCTGAGGGGTCCCGGATTGCAAGAGGGTGGTTCTCGGGTTCTCGGCAGCTCCAGTGTTGAGCATCTGCCCCCTGGTGGTCATTGCACATCATAGCTACTGGTCAGACAGTCAGGCGGTCGATGATCACTTAGCCTTTTATATACATACTAATAGATTCATACACTTACCATATGCTTGCCCCCAAAACCTCCTAGATATTTAACCAAGAGAAATGAGTATATATATATATTGACACTAAGACTTGCAGTCAGATGTTCATAGCAGCTTTATTCACAGTAGCCAAAATGGAAACAACCCCAATATCTGTAGTTGGATAATGGATAAGCAGGTTGTGGTATATCTATTCAGGGGAATACTTTTCGGCAATATGTTAAAGTAAACAAACTATTGATACATCTAACAGCATGGATGAATCTCCAAAATATTCTGTGGAGTGGAAGAAACCAGACATAGAGGACTAGGTACTACTAGTATATGATTCCATTTTCATTAAATTTTGGAAAAGGCAATGTAAGAATGATAGAAGGCAGGTCGGCAGTTGCCAGGGGTTGAGAGCTGGGGAACAGGATTGACTCAATGGGGGCACAGGGGAACTTTCTGGGTTGACAGAAATTTTCTATATTATGATAATGGTGGTGGTTACATGACTATACACCTATCAAAGCTTGCCAAGTAGCACACTTAAATTTGCTGAATTTGTTATATGCAACACCTTAATTATGCGATTTAAAATTTTAAAATAGATTTTGCCTCAGTCTATCCAAATTATTACAGCTTCTGAATGAGTGCAGTTCCAGGGGTAGTACTGCTGTGAGAAGCCTTGTCCCCCACTTTTGGTTATATTTTCTTTTCTTACTCAGTGAGCATAAAATCTTAAATAACCTGAAACCCAGAGATGGGTCACTTAGTATTTTCTCACTGTGTGTGCAAGGTGATGTTTAGCGGACTCAAAGTATTTTGTTTTGTTTTGTTTTTTAATGGAGAATAATATTTTTTTTAAATATTTTCTTAATGATTTTTGGTTTTTTAGAGAGAGAGGGAGGAAGGGAGAGGAAGAGAGAGAGAGAGAAAAATATCGATGAGAGCGAAACATGGATTGTTTCACTCCTGCACACCCCCTACTGGAGATCAAGGCTGCAACCTGGGCATGTGCCCTGACCGGAAATCGAACTTGTGACCTCTTAATGCTTGGGACGGTGCTCAACCTACTAACCCACACTGGCCAGGCAGAACTCCAAGTTTTAAATCAGTTTTACTATACTGCTGGTCAGTGCAGGGCTCTTTTGGAATGGATAAAAGCTTTCAAAATAGACCTTCATGTTTAGAAGAAAAAATATTCAGAGAATGGTAAAAGTGAAAAGACTCCTAAGAGCTGAAGAAGCCACAACATCAGTGCTTCCGTCATAAGAAGTTCCCATTTTAACCATTTTTATTCATTGGTGTAGAAAAAACTTACTTGTTGTTACCTACAAAATGAATTTAGAGATTCTTAAAAACTAGAATGAATGGTTTGTCCTTTATGGTGTGACATGTAAAATCAATATAGTAGTTAATTTACCACAAGAAAATACCAAATCCATCATTTTTCTCTTGTTACTGACTTCTATCCCTGGATGAAACCTGTTTATCACTTCTTTATTTTTTCCATTCCTGGGGTTTGAGAGGCAAAGGCAGTTTAGATGCCACTCACACAGCCCACCAAGCTCGCCCTCCCCCTCCCTCGGGGCCTGAAGAGCAAGTGCTGGCCCAGGGATGAAGCGGTGCCCGGGTAGAGTGAGTAGCCAGGAAGGGAAGGAGTTCTGGCAGGGCGCCCAGTATACCTGGCATCTCCCCTTTCCTTTAAACACAACAGCAAAAAAACACAAATTCCAAGTTAGCCTTAAGAACCTCAGAAGCCTCGGTCTGTGCCCACGAAGGAGCGTGGAGGAAGGTGGGGTACGGGGTGGGGTTCCTGAGGGATGAGCTGTGGGTCTCCCCTGTTCCACTCCTCAGAGTAAATCACTGTGCCAGGCGATTTACACCTAACAGCTCATTCCCAGTGACCCATGCATGCGATAAGTGTATGTTGTGTACTTTCCCTGTTAGATTGAAGACATTTGACCAAGGTTTTAGATGACACGCGGTAAGGCTGGGATTTGAATGTAAGGGTCTCTTGGATTCTTTTCCATTGTGCCAAGATGCCTCTCACTGGCCCGGGGCAGGTCCGGTGGAGCCCCCGGCAAAGCCAGCCTGCGCTGGCGAAGTGCTTCCTGCATAGGTGGTCGCAGTTGCTATCCCATAGCGCTTCGGTGTATTCCCCTTGCCTGAGAATTCGGCCACTGTTTATTGTTTTTCAGAGCCCAATGCCGGACAGATCCAGGAAGGAATTGGAGAGGCTGTGAACAACATTGTGAAGCATTTCCACAAACCTGAAAAAGAGGTATGATGAGCTATGAAACTTAGTACAGGAGGATTTTAAAGCCGCTTTTATGCACGATCCATAAGGCGATACCAAGTGCTTTAATTTTCATTCGTCGGCTTTCTGATGGCTGCAGCAACGTGCCCCACGCCTCGGCTCCTGTCTCCCTGGCGTGGTTCCTAAGTGTAGGCACAGCAGGTCACTGTTTGGCACTGTGTTGTGTCCGCAGAGAGGAAGCCTCACGGTGCTGCTGTGCGGAGAGAGCGGCCTGGTGGCAGCGCTGGAACAGGTTTTCCACCACGGCTTCAAGTCTGCCCGCATCTTTCACAAGAACGTCTTCATCTGGGACTTCATAGGTAAATTCAAGCAGGTGGATGCCAGTGTAAGGTCATTGAGATGCTTCTTAGAAAACGCAAAGATCCAGGAATTGGGCGTAATAAGGGCTCATTTTAAGGGAGTATATTTTTTTAAAAAAAATATATCAAATAAGCACTGTCCTTTCTTTTCATTCAGTCAACAAATATTTATAGTGCCCACCATATTCCAGACGCTATTCTAGATGCTCAAGATATATATATATATATGTCAAGATATAACTAGCCCTAGCCAGTCTTGCTTAGTGGTTAGAGCACCGGCCCGTGGACTGAAGGGTCTTGGGTTCGATTGCCGCACATTGATTGCAGACTCAATCGGGGCCTGGGTCAGGGTGCCTGCGGGAGGCAACCAATCAGTATGTCTCTCTCACATGATGTTCCTCTCTCTCTCACTGTCTCTCCCCCTCCCTTCCACTCTCTAAAAATCAATGGAAAAAATATCCTCAGGTGAGGATTAACAACCAAAAGATATAACTAACAAAACATGAAAATTCCTGTGGTTGATAAACTTACATTCTGGTGGGGGCAGGGAGGACAAATAATACAAAGCAACATAATAAATATGCAATTCATCTGTTATGTTTGGTGATCGTTGTCTGGAAAAAATAGAACAAAGTAAGAGGAAATGGAGTGTAAATGGGCGGTTATAGGCTTTGCTGACAAGGTGACATTTGAACAAAGACTTTCAGGGAGTGCGGAAGTGAGCCCTGTGCATCCTGGGAGGGGGGCACTCAGCTGAGGGAAGGGCCCGGGCAGGCGCCCCGAGGCAGGGGTGCGAGGCAGGGGTGCGCCTGGCCATCCTGTGGAATTGTAGGGGGATCGGGCTGAGCAGTGAGGGGAAAGAAAGGATTTGGGGGGAAGAGGTATTTACTACAAGAGACAGGTTGTGAAGGGCTTCCAGGCCTTTGGAAGGACCTTGGTCTTTATCCTGAATGAAATGGAAGTTATTTGGAAGGTTTGGATATAAGGAGTGACGTGTTTGAAAAGGATGATACTAGCTCTGGGCTGTCCAATATGGTAGCCACTCGACACAGGTGCCCATTTAAATTCAAATTGACCTCATTTACATTTAAAATGCACCCCCTTAGTCACCCAGCCCTCCTGTAGCTATCAGCGGGACCTTACAGAGGGGAACCTTTCTCGGGCACAGTCCCCTGCAGTGTCTGCTCCAGCTTGCTGAGCTTGGTCGTCTTTATTTTGGTATGCAGCTCTTCTAGAATTCCCAGTTTCTTTAAAAGGGTGATTAATCATTCGTGTTTTGTACATAAGGCCTAGTTGATTTCATCTAATTTAGAATTTTTGGACAAAGAAAGGAAAGTTGACAGATTAGGCCCTTAGGAGTGATTTTTTTCTTTCCCTTCTAGAATGCCTGGAATATGGCTCCTGCTTCTGCTATGTGTACACATGCCTCTTTCTCCAGTTCACTGGCTCAGTTCCATTTCAGAATTGTGTTGCAGTGTAAGCCTGGCATTCTACAGCTGGAACCGGGGCCCCCATCCCAGCGGCTACCATGTCTTTGCTGCTTACTCCTGGAAGGTTCCAGTCAATAGAGGAGTCTGTTTTTATTTTTCTTCTTGCCAATTTCCATTTCAAGCAGCTCTTCCAAAGAGAGTAGCTTTTCCCAGCCTTCCAGAATGCAGTCTAGATTAGAAAATAAACTCCCGGGAGCACATTCCTGAAACATGGACCTCTAGACTTCATTGTGAAACCAATGGTAAAATGATGATTTGGGTTCCAGGACTGGCTCTAATGCAAAGCACCATTAGTGTTTCCAGGTAAACCTAGTGGATTCGTCTTTCTATGACAAAGTGCTGATGTGTATTGTGATGTGATTCTGACTTCCTTCCCCAGAGAAAGCCGTCGCTTATTTTGAAACCACTGACCAGATTCTAGACAACGAAGATGATGTCCTTATTCAGAAACCCTCCTGCAAAACCTTCTGCCATTACGTCAATGCTATTAACACTGCACCCAGGAGCATCGGGAAGGACGGCAAGTTCCAGATTCTAGTTTGCCTTGGAACACGGTATGAAGCCAGTTCTTGACTTTCCCTGTCTCTGTTACATGTCGAACAAGGGTCCAGGAAGGGTTAAACCAGGCCATGCCCCTTCCAAAGCTCTCCCGTGAGTCTCTTTCATTCCAAGGTTCATGATGAGAGTACTGTTTCTTGGGTACTTGCCATGTGTTAGGTAAAGCACTGTGCTAAGTATACTTTACATACATTATCTCATTGAATCCTCCTGCTGTTCACCACCACCAGTACTTGAAGTAGCAGCCAGTATCCCATTGTGTAGATGAGAAAATAGATGAAACACAGATAGCAGACTTTCCCAAGTTCACACAGTTAGAAAGAGGTGAAGCCAAGATTCACGTCATCTCACTCCAGAGCCCAGGCTCTCAACATTACACATTACAAAGATAGGTCAATAGTTACAGGTAGCGAGTATCCAAAGATAGGTAAATAGTTACAGGTGAATAGTATCCAAAGATAGGTAAATAGTTACAGGTAGGTTGGTAGATAGACACACTGACACACACATATACATGTACTGTCTAGAGCTTGTATAGTGTATATACACCACCATATTAAATTTAATAACATTGCAAATTCTTACTATATAGCAGTGATGGCAAACCTTTTGAGCTCAGCGTGTCAGCATTTTGAAAAACCCTAACTTAACTCTGGTGCCGTGTCACATATAGAAATATTTTGATATTTGCAACCATAGTAAAACAAAGACTTATATTTTTGATATTTATTTTATATATTTAAATGCCATTTAACAAAGAAAAATCAACCAAAAAATGAGTTCGCGTGTCACCTCTGACATGCGTGTCAGAGGTTCGCCATCACTGCTATATAGTCTTCTCTTTAAGACAGTTTCCTACCCCTTTATTTCTTGAAAATGGCACATATGAGCTGTATAGAGTTATACATTTTAAAACATGTAATTGTAAGAAATGAAACACAGAGACCTTTAGAAGCTTTGTGTGTGCAGTGTGTGCTTTCTTCTAAACCCCTGGAGTCCTGCTCGGCTGGTGTGACTCAGTGGTTGAGCATTGCACCATTAACCAAGAGGTTCCTGGTTCCATTCCCAGTTGGGGCACTTGCCAGGTTTCGGGCTCTATCCCCAGTAGGAGGGTGCAGGAGCCAGCTGATGGACGATGTTTTTCTTTCGTCGCTGTTTGTATCTCTCTATACCTCTCCCTTCCTCTCTCTCTAAAAATCAATAAAACATAGTTTAAAACATAAACACCTGGAGGCCCAAGGAGAGGTGCAGGATGGTCTAGTTAGGGCTGTCCTTGTCATGAAAGGCCTTGGGAGGTGCTTAGTAAGGATGTCGTTGGTACCTAGTGACAGGTGATTAGTGTCGAGTTTAATCAGGAAACACTGTAGCCTGAGACTTCAACTGGCTTATAGAACTAAGTTCTGAATTTCTTCTTAACAAAAGGGGCCCATGTTCAGCTGAGCTTTTAAAGTTCCTTTTGAACACGATCTTTATCTCCTTTTATCTCTTCACTATTCTCATTTATTAGGCCAATGCAACCTCTCCTTTGGTTTATAAAAATCTACTTAATGCTCTGCTTTGATTTTGTTCCTTACCTTATTATGTTGTATAAGTTATAAAACAAAACAAAAACAAGCAAATCCCTACTATTTAATGTAGTCTTTCCTCCCAAAAGGTCCATCTACTTTGGCATGCCTTGCCACGGATGTCTAACACCGCTATAAAAAAGAAAACATAAAATTACATTCTGCCTCTTTCTAAAAGTGGCAGAATCGGAATGGAGGATTTCCTTAATGTGTGGAAACCCTCATGGCCAAAATGGCCTCCTCTTAAACTCTGATGGGTCTTCCCGTCAGCCTACACTGTCTCGCTCCTGCGGCTCTTTCACCAGAACAGATCCAGCTTCTTGGCTTGAGTTTCCTCTCAGCTGACCTCGGGGCTTGGCTGGATATGCCCCACGGGCCACACCCTCCCGGTGAGAGCTCCAGCCTGTGCTGCGTTCTGCCACAAGGCCAGCCACACTCAGGGCCTGTTTCTGTTTGGGCCTGCAGGGATCGCCTGCTCCCGCAGTGGATCCCGCTGTTAGCCGAGTGTCCTGCCATCACCCGAATGTACGAAGAGAGCGCCCTCCTGCGGGACCGCATGACCGTCAACTCCCTCATCCGCATTCTGCAGACCATTCAGGACTTCACCATCGTCTTGGAGGGATCTCTCATCAAAGGCGTGGACGTGTAACCCCTGGTAGAAACGCTCAGTCCAGACCCCTGGCTCCCTCACCTCCCCCGTCTACGGGACCGATTTGGACTTGTCTGGCGCGGTCGTGAGTCACTGCAGGGGCCGTGCACCGAATGCCCCGACTTGAAAATCCTCACGCTGCAGACAAGGCAAAATGCTGTATTGTAGTTCATTTGAACCAGGAATTTAGTATAAAATAGAGTATTTTCATGTGTTAGATGTGTGTAAATATGCTATCTTCTTTAAGAAATTATATTACTCTAATAAGATACTTTTCCTAGATTGAATATTCCTGTGATTTAAAATAAGTAGCTTAAAAACATTGAGAGCTTTGGGGAAGAGCGGTGCTAGTCAGGAAGAAGCCAGTACGTGTGTACGTACAGTGCAGCCAGTCGGCTTCCTTGCCTCCAGGTATCACAGTGGAGCCCAGAGGCATTGCAGGGTGTGGCCATCCATCCTGGGGTCTGACTCTTTGTATAATGAATGTAAACAGCTCTGCCTACTGTATGGGTCGTCCTGACACCTCCCCCTCCCCCCCCCCCCCACTACACACACACCCACACACACACTGGGGATCCAGCCCCCTGCCTGGGAGTCAAACCGGCAACCTTCTGGTTCATGGGTCGATGCTCAACCACTGAGCCACACCAGCCAGGCTGCACTTGTATCTTTTAAGTTGCAAATGGTTTCATACATATGAATTGAGTCACTTTCCCATTCTTTTGGGCAGGTTATTTTTTCCCCCTTAGGCACAAGATGGAGATATAATTCAAATACTTTAAATACTGAACCCTAGGAGCTTGGCTTAACTGGGTAGTCAGCACACAAAGCCCTAAGAAGTGTGTTAAATGGTGGGATTATGACTTCTTTGCTCTGTGGAAAGATTAGCCTAGACTGACTTCATTCCTAGCATTTTTATTCATGTTATTGGAGGTACTTTGGGCAGATGTCACAGTCATAACAACTGCGAGCAGGCGGTTGATCCTGTGCTTTTTATTGGGCCCTCGGAGCCGGCAGTGGCCCCTCACCTCGGAGGGAGGGACCCCGTCCGCCCGTCTTTGTTTGGCTCCCGTCGCCCCCTCCCCTCCCGCGTGCCCAGCCCCCTCTCAGGAAATGGAAGGAATGTCTGAAAAGGAGGAGGGCTCGGTGTGGCTTGGAATGTTTTTGTGAAAGTATTTGTTGACCAAGATAATGCAAATAACAGAAGGAGAAAGAATGGTCCCTTTCTGGGTGTTTCAGGGCAAGTTTTCTGTTCCTTTGTAAGAGGGGTGATAACATGAAACAACTGGCCCAGAGCAGGTAGAAAGCCGGTGCAGCACAGAGGGGCAAAACGCTCACAACACCAGAGGCAGCCGTGTTGAAAGACCGAATGTTGTGCGTCACTTTCCAGTTGGGGATTCTATCAGGCAGTCAAATAAGCGTGGTGTGAGCTCGGCACCTTCGGTCTCCCTCAGCAGGTCCTGTTGCTCTAACGAGCGCCTGCACGTTGCTGGCTGTGAACGTGCTCAGCAGAGCTGGGGGTTGTATTCCCAGTTGTGGCTGAAACGCGAAGCCGTGGCCCGCAGGACCCTTTGATCTGAGGGTCCCGGGCTGGAGCCTACAGTGTTGTCTCCCTTACTTCCTGGAGGAAGAAGCCAATGAAACAAGCGCCTCCCTCCCTTTATAAACACGGTGTGTGTGCGGCCAGGCAGCGAGGCCCACCCCCTGTGATATGTGGCTCAGGTCTCGGGGAGGAAAGGGGGGTTGAAGCATCTAGAAACTCATGGAAAGGGGTTAAGGAGATGGTTCTGTGTGACTTGGGGCCCAGAGATTCGCTTGCCTGAGGCTAACGTGTCTGGTGGCGTGGCTGTTCAGGGACAAGGAAATTCTTCAATGGGAGACATCCTTAACCTGCTGACACCAGGCTCAGACTGCGTTTCTGGGATCAGAAGCCATACGCTGATGGGGGGGGAGGGGGGGGCCGGGGGCTGTTCCCCCTCCCTTTCCCATGAGGTCATGCTTCTCACGCACTTGGGGCAACCAGGGAGGCGTCATAGCTGATTGAGTCATCTAGTACAGCCGTCTCATTTTATAGATGGGAACACTTAGGGATTAAAGAGATTACATACTCCCACAGCTGGTCAGCAACGACCCAGGGTCCAGGATTCACGATTTTTAATTACACCAGGCTGCATGAGACTGACCTCGGGGCGTTCATCTGAGTAGTCTCTCCACCCTTGGACCTTTATGCACTCACACAGATAGGAACTAGGATTCATATTCATGTCTGATACTCATTTATAGGGATTAATATTCATTTTAAATTGTTCACAAGTTGTTGTGAAAATGGGGAGAACATTGGATTTGGGGTCTGTGAATAAAACCATTACTTCAAAAGGGGACGCCCCAAAGGAGTTCTACCTAAAGTTCTGTCCTGCTCTGTGAAGTAGGACTAGAGCAGTGCAATGACGCATGTCAAAAAAGAGGGACGGGCCCCTACAATACTAGGCCCTTGAAAGTGGTCATCTTGGGAGCCCATCTGTCTGAATTCAGGGAGACAGCCAGTTCTCCAGACACGGGGGGGCCCCTGGAGAGCTGCTTGAAAGGCCTGCAGCCCATAGGATCCAAGTTGATGAATAAAAAGGATGCGAGCAGAGTTTGTCACATAAGAAACACACCTCTAGCCCAGTCGGCGTGGCTCAGGGTTGAGTGTAGACCTATGAACCATGAGATCATGGTTTGATTCCGGGCAGGGCACATGCCCAGGTTTTGGGCTTGATCCCAAGTGTGGGGCATGCAGGAGGCAGCCAATCAATGATTCATCATTGATGTTTCTCTCTCGCTCGCTCTCCCTCTCTCCCTTTCTCTTTGAAATCAATTTTGAAAACTAAAGAAAAAGAAACAAAACTCTAAAGAAATACAGTTTAGTTCTTATGTGGCTTATAATTGTCTTTGAGCCAATACCAAGTTATTTTGAGCAGGACAATGGCAGAATCTTGAGAATAAATGTACATAGCCTCACAAGCTGACTTGCAAGGACCATATCCATTTAAAGCTATCCTTTCTGTTTATTTTTAAAATCAGTATATTGCTTTATAATCACACCTCAAAGTTAAAGTAAATAAAAATCAGTTTTGTAATTGACTTTTCTCCTTCAAAATAAGTTATAATTAATGTCTGGAACCATAATTAGTATTTTTGCATAGTAGCTTAAAAATATATTGTTTTAAAATTAAATTGCCAAAAATATCACCTCTTAAAACATTTTTTTTCAAGTGTCCTGCAACTCCTAACTTCAACCTTTGTGACCCAGTAGCATTACACCAGTGTGAGGCCCTACAGCTGTGCCCGCTCCAGGCTCAGTAGCACCTTAAAAGTGACTGAGGTACAGTGTCCATGAGTTAAAGTGGGGTCTAGGTGGTGGAAAACAGGCCACCAAGAAGAAAAGAGGGTCTCCCAGCCCTCCCCCTCCTCTTTCCACTGGGGGCAAGGCTTGGATCTAAGAAACCTAAAACTTGTAGAAGTTTGTGATTTCCCTCTAAAATTTACTTTCCATGTTTCAGAAGTTTTTGTAACCCTGTGGTGTTTACTTTCACATGGCTTTTTCAAAAATCACTTTAATGAACTCTGTCACCCTCTATGAATGACATAAGGGAAATACTGAATTGCTTCTATTTCCTTTTTTGGCAATAAATCCCTGTTGTATATAGATGTCAGTGAAAGGGGTAGAGACTATGCATAACAGTTGGTGTGTAGCGTATGTTGACACCTCTAAGCTATTTCGAAACATGAGGCAATAGACCAGGACCTCCGATCCCCAGGGAAATATTTATTTGACGGCACTGCGAGTGTTGCTCTTAGTAACAGAATCTCCTTCGGCCGAGCATTGTGGCTTTTCAGAAGGTTTTTATTTTGGGAACTGTGAGTATTTTCTCTGTGAGGTTTACAGAAACCAGTCGCTCCTTCTCACCATGCTGGAAGGACAGTCTGAACCTTCGCTGTTTAGATTTCAGTATTAGCACCTTCGCGGATGAGAATAGAGTCTTCAGCTCCTCTGTACTTTCTATAAAGTGAATCCTGTTTCCAGGTCATCTGCGTCTTTCGAAATCCTCATTTCTTATGTAAGTATTTATTACATTTCCATTTAGCTTAAAAGAAGACAGAAACAAATAATAAGCTATTTGGCTCCTTATTCCTATATGTAAGTTTCTTGAATCAAACTGATTTCCAAGCTTTTTGAAGAGGGTGTTGGACTGTGATCGGAGGAATCCAAGGAGAACCTCATCCCTTCAAATCTTACTAGATACCGACTGTCCTCTCAAGGGCAAAATAGAGACTGGCTCCAGAAAAATACCACATTGAGCAGCTAATACCAGAGTGAAATATCATCAAAAGATTTCCCCTCTTTTGGGGAAGAAGAAAAAAATCCCCTCATTTGAAGGAATCCAGGGTATCCTTGGGTTATATGGGAGGGAATAATGCTTGATTCAGTTACCTGAATGTATTATGTATGGCTCCAGTCTTTATTCCAAACACCACATCTTGACAGAGAGGCATGGTAAGCAGTTCCTGTTGTCAATCAACGGAAGTTGTTTAACACATGGAAAAAGTCCTCTATGTTACACTGGAACCTTGTATAAATGTACCTGTGTATGTTTTTAACAAATGAGCCTTTCTGCATTTAAGTTATATTGTTTTTCCTTGTATTGTTAACAAAATGCATCAGAACTGGACTCCCCCCTCCCCACCTGAACATAATATAAAATTTGACCAGTATTGTGATATCAAGCACTTTAGCATACATATCAGAGAAACTGACGTGGGTTTTTCAGGTTTTGGAGTACATTTAAATATGACTTTTCATGCTTTGTTCTTTACAAATAAAACTGTGGGATTGATATTTGTTCTGTTTCGTTATTATAGAGTCTTTAAACTGACTTTAACAGAGCAAGTGTATTAGAGTTCTTCAGAGAAACAGAACCAGTAGGATATGTATGTAAACATAAAGAGATTAATTTGAAGGAAATCACTCAAGCGATTGTGGAGGCTTAGGAATCCAAAATCTACATGGTAGGCAGGTTGGAGACCCCTCGGAAGAGATGCAGTTCAAGTCCAAAGGCAATCTGGTGGCAGAATTTCTTTTTGCTCAGAGAAGCTCAGTCTTTGCTTTATGAAGGCCTTCAACGGATTGGATGAGGCCCACACACATTATGGAGAGTAATCTGCTGTACTCTAAGTCCACCAATATAAATATTAACCTCATTAAAAAAGAAAACACTATAAAAACATTCAGAATAGCCGAAACCGGTTTGGCTCAGTGGATAGAGCGTCGGCCTGCGGACTGAAAGGTCCCAGGTTCGATTCCGGTCAAGGGCATGTACCTGGGTTGCAGGCACATCCCCAGTAGGAGGTGTGCAGGAGGCAGCTGATCGATGTTTCTCTCTCATCGATGTTTCTAACTCTCTATCTCTCTCCCTTCCTCTCTGTAAAAAATCAATAAAATATATTAAAAAAAAAAAAAACATTCAGAATAATGTTTGACCAAATATCTGGCACCATGGCCCAGCCAAGTTGACACATAAAATTAACCATCAAAATTATAATGAGATTGTAATAATGAGTGACTTGCTAATAAGTGATAAAAAAGAATGCTGACCCCTAGCTGGTTTGGCTGTATGGATAGAGTGTCAGCCTGTGGACTGAAGGGTCCCAGGTTCGATTCCAGTCAAGGGCACATGCTCGGGTTGCGGGCTCGATCTAGGGCATGCAGGGGGCAGCCGATCAATGATTCTCTCTCATTGATGTTTCTATCTCTGTCTTCTCCCTTCCTCTCTCTGAAATAAATTTTAAAAAAATTTTTTTAAATTGATGCTTAAAATACAAGAACTGCATATATGGGAAGCAGCCACTAACACAAGGCCTGAGGGAGACAAACAAAGAGTTGCCTTGCCCTCGGGCCAAGAGCCAGCTTTATTAAAGCAGTTACCATGCTGGTCCACTGGATGGCAAAGAAGTTACAAGATGCTGCACTGCTGGCACTTGTTTGGAATCTGCCTCCAAGTGCTAGAGGAGCATCCAAGGGGAGGTGCCACATCCCAGGACTTGCTGGGAAGCCACTTGGGGGGTGGGAGGGAGGTGCTAGGGAAGATGTCCATGGAGAAGTGCTGTACCAGTAAAACCCACTCCAGAGCCACCCAAGGTGTGCAGCATGAGGTTAGCTGCTGAGTAGCATCAGAGTGAGGCCCTACACATTGCAGGAGCCTGCAGAGGGGAGCAGAGCTGAACCAGGAAAAGAAACCCTCCTCCAGTGTCTCTCCAGTGCAGTTCACTCACAGTTGTGCCAGCTGGAAAAGGAGAAATGTCCTCAAAAGGGTCTCACTCCATGTTGCAGAGCACGCAATCAAGGATAGATTTGGAGCTGAGAGGCAATATATATATATATATTAAAGCCTATGCAATTAGGAGAAACCAAGATGGCGGCATAGGTAAACACCGGAAATTGCTGCCTCCCACAAAAAATACAACGAAAAGACAAAACGGACATCATCCAGAACCACAGGAAGGCTGGCTGAGTGGAATTTCTACAACTAGAAGGACAGAGAAAAGCACACTGAGACTCAGAGGAGGTGCGGAAGTAAAGTGCAGAGGTACAGAGGCGTGCACGTGGAAAGGGCTGGCAACTGAGGACTCGGCTGTCATTTTGAATCAGGAGGGAGTCACAAGCCCCCAAATGCTCTGAACTCCAGTTCCCAGTGAGTCTCTGGGAAGACTCATACGGGGAGAAACTGGACTGTCTGGCAGCGGGCAGAACTCAGAATTTGAGGGCGGCTTTCTCTCAGAGGTGCTTGCAGTGATTACCGGGACACTGAGACCCGGGGCCCCTTAGGGCAGGGCTGAAGATCAGCCATAGCTGCTTGCTCTGCCCTGTTGATTCCCTGAGACCCCTGCCCACCCAGGCTGCAGCAGAGGCTTTTGCATATGAATGCCCTGGCCCTTTGCAATCTGAAAATTACCCAACAAACTGCAGCTGGGCCAGACAGACCCAGAACTTCCAAGAGAAGTCCCAAGGCCCCACAGCAGCTTGCATTGCTTCACAGCTGGGCCTCATTTGGGCACCTCCAAACCCCAAACAAGGAAGAGGAACCTGCAGATCTCCTTGTAGCTCCGGCTGGGTAAATTAGCACCTCCTTAGATCCAAGAGCCAGTGTACCCAGTGGTCAGAGTGGGACCATCCAATTACAACTCCTCAGATCCATAAGGGACACACTCAGGGGGCAGACTCAGTGAGCACCAAAGCCCCACTGAAGCAAGTCTTGCCCCAGAAGGGTGTCTTCAGCACAGAAGTTCTCCCACTGTTGACACAGCTGATTCTCACAGCCAATTGGCCTGGAGGTCAATTCCTCCCAGTGATACCTACAACAATCAAGGCTTAACTACAACAAGACTGTGCACAAAGCCCACAAGGGGGTTCACCAAGAGTGTCCACCTCAGGTAATTGGGGAGGCTGAGCCACTGGGCCCTATAGGACACCTAGCTCACAAAGCCACTCTACCAACACAGGGAAGCATAAAAATGTGGAGACAAAGAAACAGGTCACAAATGACAGAAATGGAGGAAAGCAAACTACTGGATATAGAGTTCAAAACCACACTTCTAAGGTTTTTCAAGAACTTTCTAGAAACCACCGATAAATTTAGTAAGGCCCTCAAGAAATCTAGTGAGACCCTCGAGGTTATGAAAAAGGACCAACTAGAAATTAAACATACACTGACTGAAATAAAGGATATTATGCAGAGTTCCAACAGCAGACTAGAGGATCGCAAGAATCAAGTCAAAGATTTGAAATACGAAGAAGCAAAAAACACCCAGCCAGAAAAGCAAAACGAATAAAGAATCCAAAAATACGAAGATAGTGTAAGGAGCCTCTGGGACAGCTTCAAGTGTACCAACATCCTAATTTTAGGGGTGCCAGAAGAAGAGAGAGGGCAAAATATTGAAAACCTATTTGAAGAAATAATGACAGAAAACTTCCCCTACCTGGTGAAAGAAATAGACTTACAAGTCCAGGAAGCGCAGAGAACCCCAAACAAAAGGAATCCAAAGAGGACCACACCAAGACACATCATAATTAAAATGCCAAGAGCAAAAGACAAAGAGAGAATCTTAAAAGCAGCAAGAGAAAGAAAGTCAGTTACCTACAAGGGAGTACCCATACAACTGTCAGCTGATTTCTCAACAGAAACTTTTCAGGCCAGAAGGGAGTGGCAAGAAATATTCAAAGTGATGAATGCCAAGAACCTCCAACCAAGATTACTTTACCCAGCAAAGGTATCATTCAGAATTGAAGGTCAGATAAAGAGCTTCACAGATAAGGAAAAGCTAAAGGAGTTCATCACCACCAAACCAGTATTATATGAAATGCTGAAAGGTATCCTTTAAGAAGAGGAAGAAGAAGAAAAAGGTAAAGATACAAATTATGAACAACAAATATACATCTATCAACAAGTGAATCTAAAAATCAAGTGAATAAATAATTTGATGAACAGAATAAACTGGTGAGTATAATAGAATCAGGGGCATAGAAAGGGAGTGGACTGACTATTCTTGGAGGGGAAAGGGGTGTGGGGGATGCGGGAAGAGACTGGACAAAAATCATGCACCTATGGATGAGGACAGTGGGTGGGGGGTGAGGGCGGAGGGGGGGTGGGAACTGGGTGGAGGGGAACTATGAGGGGGGAAAAGAGGAACAACTGTAATAATCTGAACAATAAAGATTTAATTTTTTAAAAAAATTTTAAAAATGAAAGCCTACACGACAAATGACCAGTCGAATGGTTGCTATGATGAACACTGACCACCAGGGGGCAGACGCTCAACACAGGAGACTCCCCTTGGTGGTCAGTGCATTCCCACAGCCAACTTCCCATGTCCCCTCCCTCGCTGGCCAACCTCCCTCGGCCCTGATTGACCCTGATTACCAGCCAAGCCAAGGGACACCACCACCACCACCACCACCACCACCCCCCCCACCCCCGTACAAATTCGTGCACCAAGCCTCTAGTACATTTATAACTGCCCAACTGTTTAGTTCCTTATATTCAGTTAAGGAGGAAACAGAGGAGATGAGTGAGAAAATGCAGGTGGAAAAGATGATAAGATAGAGCAAATGTGTCCATACTTTGTGAAGCAGTAGTTTAGAGCAGACTGTCTGCCATGTTCATTTGAATGTGTTCCAGATGTATAAATTTTTCATCAATGCCTTTTAAAATACTGACTTTAGCCCAGCCGGCATGCTTCAGTGGTTGAGCATTGACCTGTGAACCAGGAGGTCACGGTTCAATTCCCAGTCAGGGCACATGCCCAGGTTGCAGGCTCAATCCCCAGTGTGGGGTGTGCAGGAGGCAGTCAATCAATGATTCTTTCTCATCATTGATGTTTCTATGTTCCTCTTCCTTTCTATAAAAATATATTTTAAGAAAATATAATACTGACTAATTGAAAATCTTGATTAACTGCAGTTAAGGTCAGGAGGCTTTTGCCACCTCAGGGAAAGAACACCACAGTGGTAGCAATAAAGGTGGTGGAAGGTGCCGGGTTCTGAGTATATTTTGATTCTAAAGCCAGAAATTTCCTGATGGATTGAAGGTGAGAGATGAGGGAAGAAGAATCAAGAATGACTCTGACGGGGGGTAGGGGATAATGTGGGGATAAGGACACATATGTAATATCTTAATCAATAAAAAATATATTTTTAAAAAAATTTTAAAAATTTTAAAAAAGAATGACTCCGAGGGTTTTGACCTGAACGACTGGAAGGCTGAAGCTAGAATTTCCGTGAACCAAGATGAGTAAGAATGTGGGGAGAAAAGGCTTTGGAGATAGATCAGGAGTTCAGGTTTG